TCAAGTACTACATTGGACTGGCAGTAGGTTTTTGAAGTTTACCTGAAGGTTTTTTGTTTTCTTCAAAATATCATAAAAGTGATATAGTTCCAAGGAAGCTCTCAGAAGCTGATGTACAGAAGCAAAAGGAACTATGGGAACCAAGAAGATACTTCATTTTTCACATGAATGGTTCTGGCTCTCTCCAAAGGCCAAGAACCAGTAAAAACATTTGAGAACATTAGTTTTTCTTTGGTAGTTAGGCATTTACCTGAAAGATGCATTGAAATAAATATATTCACTGTATGTATATAACTATTCAAACTTTATTAATGGCATGGCTATCGAATGTATCATATATACCATATAAATAGTAAAGAAATACCAAAACACAAATGTTAATATATGCATAAAATGCTACCCAATCCTAAAATGAACATTGATAAATGAATGCAGAAGGTGCTCAGAAAGACTTGGTAAGTATGATCAGCATTCCTCCAACCATCATTTGTTCTTTCTTTTGTAACTGCGGATTACAAAATTAATAAATAAAAATTATAAGTCATCTGTCATGTGCTTAACACTGAGATAACTTAGGGGGAGGAGGTAGTCTATAAAACATATTAACATGAGGCCTCTTTCTTCAAAGAACTTGTAATTTAGTCAGTGATGCAGAACTAACATTAAATAAAGCTTAAATTAATCATAATATGGAACCAAGGGGAAAGAAAGAGGAAGTAGGCTTCCTTATGATGGTGAAAAGGCATCTAAGATGAGGACAGCAAATGAATTTTAGGTTGGAGAAACCACATCAAACATCTGTATTTAATGACAATAAAGAAGGTAGTATGAATGGGTAGAAAAGCATGCTGAAGGGGAAGTGTGACATAGTCTGGATTAGGTAGAAGACTAACAGAAAATATAAACAAATTTAAGCTAAGTGAATGACACAAAAGCACAGAAAGAATGCATCCATTATTTTTTTAAAAAACATTTCATAATAGAGGGAAGAAATGTTGACCTGCTTGATTAAAGATTGCCTGACTAAAACATAATAGCTATATAGTGATATAAAAAAGTTCATAATTTAGTCATATATGATTCTCTGTGTGTGTGTGTGTGTGTGTGTGTTTGAGTTATAACTAGTATCAAAACTTTTATATGTATAAAAAACTAAACTCACTGTCATTGAGTCAGATCCAAATCACAGTGACCCCTCCTTGGGTTTCCAAGGTGGTACTCAACAGCACATAACAACAACAACAACATCACAACGGAAGTAAATTGCTCAACTTTCCTTTAGAGGAGTGGCTGCTGGGTTTGAACTGCCAGCCTTCTGGTTAGCAGTCAAATGCCTTAGGCACTACAACATCAGAGCTCCCTATGTGTGTTTATATTACATATAATATATACATATAGATACACAGATAGATGTAATACATGCATCCAGTTATACATGTAAATCTATGATATATCTGTATCTGTCTCTCCCTCTCTATCTCCTGTCTATATAGCTTAGTTTGCCTCAGCTGGTACTAGTTCATGTTTATTTTTTGGCATACCATATTCAACAAGATATATGATTTAAAAAAAAAGAGTCACTCTCTGCATGCTAAAGCCACCTTAATACCAAATATCTCATAGCAATTACTGTAATTCATGGATCATGTTTTAAATTAGCAAGATCACAAAACAAAATAACAAAGGCATGTATTATATTCCTAGGAAAAAAGAATAAAATTGGATAGAGGAATGTGGATTTTAAGGCAAATACATACTCTCAAAAATAAGATAGTTTTTAGAGTTGGAGGACAAATGTGGAACAAAATTCAAAAACACAAAAATGACCAGAATTACTGATCAGATAGAGACTGGCAGGACCCCCAAGACTAAGGGTCCAGGTTATCCTTTGGGCCTGGAAATGGACTCACTTCTGTGGATTAGCTCTCAGCTCAACAGTAGAAAGACCTACAAACACAAAACCTACCCCAGGGAGATATACCCATCTACCCTAAGGAGATGCATTCCTTAGATCAATCAGCATTCACATGCAGGGAAAGGTGGACTGACAGGAATGCATAAATAAGAAGGGCACACGGAAGGAGTAGTAACAGGGAGGAGAGAGGAGGAGAGTTTTTATGGTTGGAGATTGTAATCGGGGTGTGAAATTAAATGTGCATGAACTGTTGGGAGTAAAACAAATCTGCTTTGTAAATTTATACCCCAATCACAAATAAATAAATAAATAAATGGGGAAAAAAGAGATAGTTTTCTAGATTAAAAAAGGAGACATTTGCCTCAATTTTAAATGCAGTTACTACAAAAAGATTAACCATTAAATATCTATTATTTTTAAATGAGATCATTTTACTATTGTTTTCTATCTTTTAAATTCATCTTATCAATCTTTACTGCTTCCTTAGTCAATAAATTACTCCTAATATAATCATTTGGGAGCTCTGTAGCATAGTGCCTAAGGCACTTGACCGCTAACCAGAAGGCTGGCGGTTGAAACTCACAAGCCACTCCTTGGGAGGAAGATTGGGCAATCTACTTTTGTAGTGATATCACCTCCGAAACCCACAGAGGGGTCACTATGAGTTGGGTCTGACTCCACGGCACATAACAACAACAACAAATATAATCATTTATTTATTTATTGCAGTTTTCAATGAGTGTGTAAATAAACATCTAGAAAGAATACATATGAGACAGTATTTAAAAAGTAATTAATAATATTTTCTCTTAACTATTTTCTGGGTTTCTCCCTTTTTAACTTGATACCATGTCTTCCAAAAATCATACTTTTGTATATCATAAAATTTTAAAGGCAAAACCTTCCTCAAACCTATTCTGCTCATTTTATTGGTAGGTGATTGAAGATTTCCATTTGAATTGCCAAAGATAATCTAAACAAAACATATTGAAACATGCTGAAAATTGATTTCCATGTATTTCTTTTATTTGTATATATGTATATATATTTGTATATATATATATATATTTGTATATATATTTGTATATGCAATCTCACACATATCTAATAAGTTTATCTTTCAAAATTTATTTCATTGCAATAAGAGTCAAAATTCTTTTTAACATGAGATTTCACTGGGTAAAATAATGTCATTGAAAGGCATTTCAAATACATTAAAAGTTGAAGGGACTAAAAAATCATGCAATTAATTTACTTAATTTTATAGATGAAAAATACAAACCACAAAAATACTTATCTTTATCATAAGTACAAACAAGACATTGTTTTAATACTAGATTCAAATTCATCTGGCATTGGAGTAACTGTGATAAGCATAGAATCTAAGGACTTGAAGGTGTTTTGAATATATTATATTGTCCAGCTTCCACTGAAAAAATATGCATTCCCTTTATGACTTCTTAAGTGCTCATATAACATAACTTGAATGCCTGAACTTTACAGGACTCATTGATCCCTGAAACATTCATTTATTTTTGGAAGAGTTTAAAATAAACAAAATTAAACAAAAAACATTTTACAAAGACAACTATACTTTAGATTTCACTCATTAATCCTGATGCTAAGAGGAGTTAGGAAGGTTGAAGATGTGTGGACTATTATGGGGGTAAAGAGGAGGCCTGAGACATGTAGAGAGCTTAATCCTCCATTCACATGATAGTGTTTCAAATACTAGGAGTCGATATAACGTGCCCTCTTAGATCTCAAGTCTTGTAGTTCCTTTCCAATTTGTTTCCAATTCTCTTTGTGCCTTCTAAAGTGGCACTCTGGGCTTAATCAAATGCCACTGACATGGGAAGGTCAGTGTGGGAGTAAGCTAGACATTCACATTATCATTCAGAATAATCACAGTCAACATGTGCAGTGCTTCAACTCCATCTGGGTAGAGGCTTTGGTGGTTTCTGCTTGCCTGTTTGTTTACTGTAAAGAGAGATGCTCAAGCACATTGTGATTCAGAATCCCACTGATTCTGGTACAGGGCCAGGGTAGAGAAATCTTGGTCTAGAAACTGTTTCTTTTTATGCTAAGTTTTCAGTTTTAATAGCCATTGCACTCCTTAAACACATGCTAACTTTACATTTGATACTTTTCACATGGACTATTTCTAAGGAAAATCTCCAATTTCTGCATGAGCACATATACTTTTTAAAATTCAGGTAGGACTTTGCATTTATCATGTAAAAATGTCAGTTTTGCACCGCAAAAATTAGAGTGGAAAAAAAAAAAAAAAAGATTAGATAGGAACCCTAGGGGGCAGTGAGTCTATATTAATTAGAAATGACTTGTATGGGGGACATCAAGCTTAAAAAAAAAAAAAAAAGTCAGTTTTTTTAGATTGCTTCTAATGGTCCATATATTTGTTGCTTCTTATGTTTTTCCAGAATTTTCACTGTTTTCCTAGCTCTGTATTTTTGAGAGCATACTACCTGTATGTTCTTCTTTTCTTTTCTTTTTTTTAAACCTAATTATATACACACATACACACATGCCTGGGACTAACATCAGAGAATCCGCCCCATGAATGCTCGATTTAAATGAACCATAGACCATCTTTGACACATTGCCGCCATTATACTGATTTGCCATCATATATTGAGGCTGATAACTCCTAGCAACATTTTATAAGATAAATTGACATGAAGGAGTTTCATATAATATGTAATCAAAAGGCCCCTTCAAAATATACTGCAAAATAGATTAGGAAATTCATCACTTTCATGTGTTTAAATGTTTGGAACACTTTGAATCTCAGTATTTCAATAGATCCATTGTTAAATAACAACAAAAATATAAATTTAGACAAATTGAAGGCTGGCAGTTCAAACCCACCAGACACTCCTCGGAAGGAAGGTTGGGCAATCTACTTCCGCAGTGATACTGCCTCGGAAACCCAAGGAGGGGTCTCTATGAGTCCGGGCTGACTCTACAGCACATAATAACATAACAACAACAAACAAATATAGTTTTCCATCCATTGATGCTGTGATAATATTGTATCAGCAGGCATAAAAAGTAAGATTCTTACCCATAAGCTTGGGAAGATCAGTAGGTTGAGGCATGGAATTATTATTCACAGCATCAAGCTGCATTCTAAAAGCATCCGCCTGGAAATCATCCACTGAAAAAAAACAAAAGTAGTATAGTAAGTAAAATAGAACACTGTCATAATCTCTTAAACTGTTACACTTGAAGCAAAACATAATAATTGTGTTGAGCAGACTCAGCAATTTTATGTTCATTGCTATATTAAATTAACACTCACTGTTATTAGTGAGTATGTATCTATTAATATATATATGTATGTATATACACATATGCATTCATACATATATATTCATGCTGTTGTTGTTGTTATGTGCCATCGAGTCAGACCCAACTCATAGCAACCCCTCCTTGGGTTTCCAAGATGGTATCACTATGGAAGTAGATTGCCCCATCTTCCTTCTGAGGAGTGGCTGGTGGGTTTGAACCGCCAGCCTTCTGGTTAGCAGTCAAATGCCTTAGCCACTATGCTACTACAGCTCCTATATATATATATATATATATATATATATATATATAGAGAGAGAGAGAGAGAGAGAGAGAGAGGGAGAGGGAGAGAGCTCTACTGTCATAGTGAGTAAGGCATTTGGCTACTACCCAGAAGGTCCATGGTTCAAACTCTCCAGCTGCTCTGTGGAAGGAAAATGAGGCAACCTACTTCCATAAAGATTTATAGCTTTGGAAACTCAATGGGCATTGCTATGAGATGGAATTGACTCAATGGCAGTGGGTTTGGATTTTGCTTTTATTCATATACATATATATGCATATATATATCTATTCATGAATGTATATATGTAGGTATATTGCCAAAAATGAAATGGACTGCAAAAAGATCACTATCCTAGGCATTCGTGAATGGAAATTGGCTAGAATTGGCCATTTTGAATCAATTATATCGTCTACAATGGTGGGAATGACAAATTAAAGAGAAATGGCATCACATTCATTATCAAAAAGAACATTTCAAGATCTATCCTGAAGTACAGTGCTGTCAGTGATTGAATAATATCTATATGTTTACAAGGAAGACCAGTTAATATGCAAAAAAAAAGAAAAAAATCACTGTCATCCACTTGATTCGACTCATAGTGACCCCCTTTGGATTTCCAAGATTGTAAATCTTTACAGAAGTAGACTGCCACATCTTTCTTCCATGGAGTGGAAATTATTCAAATTTAGGCACCAACTACTAAAGCCAAAGATGAATATATTGAAAATTTTAACCAACTTCTGCAGTCTAAAATTGACCAAACATGCAATTAAGATGCATTGATAATTACTGGTGACTGGAATGTGAAAGTTGAAAACAAAGATGCATCAGTAGTTGCAAAGTATGGTCTTGGTGAAAGAAATGAGAGATCACATCACAGAAATTTGCAAGACCAATGACTTATTCATTGTATTTGCAATTTCTTCAATAACATAAATGGTGACTATACATGTGGACCTCACCAGATGGAATACAAAGGAATCAAATCGACTACATTTGTGGAAAGAAAGTATGGAGAGGCTCAATACCATTAATCAGAACAAGGCCAGGAGCTGACTGCGGAACAGATAATTACTTGTATGCAAGCCTAACTGAAGCTGAAGAAAATGAAACAAGTCCACAAGAGCCAAAATACAACCATGATGACATCCCATCTGATTTTAGAGACCATCTGAAGAGTGGATTTGATGCGTTGAACATCAATGACCAGATGAGTTGTGAGATGACATCAAGAACATCACACATGAAGAAAGCAGAGGGTCATTAAAAAGACAGAAAGGGAGAAAAGACCAAAATAGATATCAGAAGAGACTGTGAAACTTGCCCTTGAATGGGGAGTAAGTAGCTAAAACAAATGGAAGAAATGATGAAACAAAAGAGCTGAACAGCAGATTTTTAAAGGGCAGCTTAAGAAGACAAAGCAATGTATTATAATGGAATGTGCAAAGACCTGGAGTCAGAAAATCAAAGGGGAAGAACATGCTCTGTATTTCTCAAGATGGAAAAAAAAAAAAAAACCTGAAGAAAAAATTCAAGCCTTGAGTTGCAATCTTAAATAATTCTATATGCAAAATATTGAACAGTGTAGGAAATATTAAAAATTGGAAGAAATACAGTCACTGAACCAAAAAAGATTGCTTGATGTTCAACCATTTCAGGAGGAAACATATGATCAATACCAATGGTATTGAAGGAAGAAGTCAAAGCTGTCCTGAAGGAATTGGTGAAAAACAAGACTCCAGGAATTATTGGAATATCCATTGAGATGTTTTAACAGACGCAGTGCTGGAGGCACTCGCTTATGTATGCCAAGAAATTTGGAAGACAGCTAGCTACCTGAACAATGGACTGGAAGAGATCCATAATTGTACCCATCAAAAGAAAGGTAATTCAACAGAATGCAGAAATTATCAAGCAATGTCATTAATATCACACGGAAGTAAAATGTTGCTGAAAAAAACTTTAAAAATGGTTGCAGCAGTTGACAGGGAAATGCCAGAAATTTGAGCCAGAATCAGAAGATGATGGAATGAGAGAAACATCATTGCTCATATCAGATGGATCTTGGCTGAAAGCAAAAAATGCCAGAAAGATGTCTACTTGTGTTTTGACAGCTATGCGAAGGCATTGGACTTCATTATTCATAACAAATTATAATAACATTGCAAAGAATGGGAATTCAAGAACACATAATTGTGCTCATGAGGAACCTGTACATAGACCAACAGACAGTCATTCAAACAGAACAGAAGATACTGCATGGGTTTAAAATCAGGAAAGGTGTGCATCAGGGTTCTATCCTTTCACCATATTTATTCAATCTGTATGCTGAGCAAATAATCCAAGAAACTGGTCTATATGAAGAAGAATGCAGCATCAGGATTGGAAGAAGACTCACTGAAAACCTGCCATATGCAGATGACACAACCTTGCCTGTTGAAAGTGACAGGGACTTGACCCACTTATGGATGAAGATCAAAGTCTACAGCTTTCAATATGGATTACACCTCAACATAAAGAAAACAAAAATTCTCACAGCTGGACCACCAATAAGCAACATAATGATAAATGGAGAAAAGATTGAAGTCAGGGATTTCATTTTACTTGGATTCACAATCAAAGCCCATGGAAGCAGCAGTCAAAACCAACTTATTGCACTGGGTAAATCTGCAGCAAAACACCTCTTCATGTGTTGCAGAGTAAAGATGTCATTTCACGTTGTAAACTAAGATGCACCTGATCAAAACCAGGGTTTTTTCAACAGCCTCATATGCATGTGAAAGCTGGACAATAAATAAGGAAGATGGAAGGTGAACTGAATTGTGATGTTGGCAAAAAATACTGAAAATACCATGGGATGCCAGAAGGAACAAATCTACTTTGGAAGAAGTATAGCCAGAATGCTCCTTAGAAGTAAGAATGACCTGACTTCATTTCATGTACTTCGGTCCTATTTCAGAAATGCTCAGTCCCTGGAGAAGAATGTCGTGTTTGGTAAAGTAGAGGGGAAGATCCGCAACAAGATGGGTTGACACAGTGGCTGATGAGCTCAGGCATAGTAATGATTGTGAGGATGGCTCAGGACTGGGCATGGTTTCATTCTATTGCACATAGCCTAGCTATGAGTTGGAGCCCACTAGGAAGTACTAACAACAACTACATCTCTCCCTATATATATATTCATATATATGCATACATATAAAGGTGCCCTGATGGCACAGTAGTTCATTGCTCAGCTGCCAACCCAATGGTGGGCAGTGCAAACCCACCAGGTACTCCATGGGAGAAATATGTGGCAGTATTCTTTAAAGATTTATAGCCTTCCAAACTCTGTGGGGCAGTTCTACTCTGTCCTTTAGAGTCACTATGAATTAGAATTGACTAGATGGATTTGGGGTGTGGGTGTGTGTGTAATACATAATATAAATATCTGTGTGTATGCCATATTGAATCTTCAGAAAAAAACCAAACTCACTGCCGTGGAATCAGATCCAACTCACAGCAATCCCTCCTTGAGTTTCAGAAGCGTTAGCTCTATGGAAGTAGATTGCCCAATCTTCCTTCTGAGAAGTGGCTGGTGGGTTTGAACCTCCAGACTTCTGGTCAGAAGTCAAATACCTTAGGCATTATCTTACCAGAGTAAGATAATCTTACAGAGATAAAAAGGTCATATATCTGTAACTTTTTTAGTTCTTGATCCAACATAACAGTGAAAGTTTCTATCACCCCATTTATTAAATTTAAGTGCAGATAAAACTGATTACTTTAATTCTGGAGGGAGATTCTGAGTAACTATTTGCTCTCACATTGTTATAAATCTAAGGGCTTTCAAAGACCCCACTCTTGCGCCTCAATTATACAGTAATATTCTTAGTAAGGAAAATTAATACCATAAACTGAAAAAAAAAGGTATGGGAAAATGTCCAGTGTAATTAAATTTAGGAGCTCTAGTGGCATAGTGCCTAAGGCATTTGACTGCTAAACAGAAGGCTGGTGGTTCAAACCTACCAGCCACTCCTCGGAAGGAAGATTGGGCAATCTACTTCCATAGAGATACTGCCTCGGAAACACAAGGAGGGGTCACTATGAGTCGAATCAACTTGATGGCAGTGAGTTTGGCTTTGTTTTTTTATAATTAAATTTATTATTTTCTACATATATATTTTTTTTCTTTGTTATGCCAGCAGAACTTGTATTTACTTTAGAACTAGTAAATACAGATGCATCTCTGCTTGCATTGTTGAAACAAAACCTTGGTAAAATTGACCTCCCTCTACAATACCTCATTTTTAAAAGAATGTTTTAAACTGAAGTACAATGAAATGAGAAACAAACTTACATGCATCCTCACAGGTGTTCTTGCATTCTTCCAATGATTCAAAGTTGTTTAGATTGCCTAGGCACCCACCGTACTTGAAACGCTCACATTGTTTTGACTGATTGTTATAGAAATACCTAGTAATATAACCTCGGCAAATTCCAGTATCTTCTTCCAAAAAGCAGAATTCTGGCTTTTCTAAAAGTCATAAAAATGTCAGAAAGCAATATTCTTTTTTTTTTTTTTGGGGGGGGTGAGTGTCAGTTATTTTAATTAAATTGATAAATAACTGGTTAAGTTGAAGATATTTAAGGAGTAAAAATGAAAAATTAAAGATAAATGGTAGAAATATAATTTTATCCAGAATTATACAATATTAAACTTGTCTACCACATCTATTGTGACATTTAGAATAAGGAAGATGTACTAGTATTACACCTATTTTTGTGACTGGAATTTCAACTTCTAAATTTCTCATAGTAAATTAATACACCATTAACCATCAGGGTTTTTTTTCCCCCCCCCTCATGAATTGAGAAAAAAAAAGATTCTGCTTTATTTTAACACACAGCACCCTTGGTTTGTAAATACAAGCTATAATGGAAAATTTTTGGTTAAATTATTTTACTCCAGGTTTATTAAGCTTATGTGTATCAGCATTTAGACAAGGTCTATTGATATTTCATGTTTTTTGAGTTGTGTGGTCTTATTAGGGAAATACAGTATGCTACTTCACTAAGGATCATTTAAACAAAAAGTTGTAGAAAAATCTTTCATGAGGACAGAAGCTTCCGTGGCTATTTTTAGAAGTTCCTGGATTCTTATGCCGGAATTAGCATTTGTGTGTTAGGTAGGATAACCTCCACTGCTTGCTCTCTCTCTGTCTCTCTTATTCAGACATTGGAATAACTCCAAAAGTGCAGAGGCAGAAAGGAAATACATGTTCAGAGATTGGAGAGACTTTCGTAAAGGTCTTAAACCCTTTCTTTGATAGTGCTCCAAACCAGGCTGAACACAGCTGCCACAGAAGTTGTGGCACTGTGATCTGCTTTCAACTCCACGCACACTGTGTGAAGAAGAGAACTGAAATAATTTTCAAAAGTAATATGATCACAAGGCATATTGGGCTTGAATTTTTTAAGGCTTTAATTTCTCCTTTTTTTCTGCAACTACACTACCACAGTGTCACAAGTGAATTGTGGTATACTTTTACATCTCAAAACAATTTGCTCTTCTATCTCAGGGAAGTAATACTCATGAGTGTTTTTACTATAAAAAGAGTAGGTAATTTAATAATGTTAATGATTTCTGCAACAGCTGCAGATCTGCAGTAGGACCAATATCCTCGTATAAAAAAAGGAAGTTTCATTAAATAAATCTCCCTATTCTAATGTAGTTTTAAAAAATCTATTTTCTGTAGCTTTTCAAAGTACCAATGTGAAAGCTATTTTGTTTATTGTTTATTGCTGCTAGCTTTTCAAAGTGAATGTTGCTATCATTCCAATAGCAACCATTTGAAATTAATTGTAATATATATGGAAAAGAAAAATAAAATTAACTTTGTAACACTTTTTTGAGAGAAAGAAAAAGTTTATTCAATCATTACCATTTTAATTTGTTTTATTATTAGTATGTACTACTTACAAAATTTTGAATCATCTTAGTGGAAGGTATGAGAATTTTATGTTTAATAAAAGGGGGTCAGCAAAATATATCGAGTACAAAAACAGAAAATTGTAACATAAATTATGCTGACAAGCATAATTTTTAAAATGTACAGCTAGAATATGTGTGTGTGTGTGTGTGTGTGTGTGAAAGAGAGTGTCTGTGTGTATGTATCCCCCATCCTAGGACATATATTTATTTCAGAACAAATATACAAATGCACACATGTAAAATAATTATGCTTAAGCCAACCATTGAAAAAACTCACAGGGTTACAAATCAAGAAATTAATGCCCACGTTTCTCAGATTATTTAATTTCCATACCAAATTCTTGCTCTAATTGGGGTTTAGTTAAAATTGAATAACACAGAATGGAGACTCTCAGCTATATACCAACAGTCATATGCCACGGGATCTTCACTATGAAATCTCCTTTGGGACTCCCTACCTAGGAACTGTCTTAGAACTGTTTCACAAGGATTGCAATGAATCACCACTGTCTTTAAAACTGTCCAAATGCTAGGGAGCATATCACAAAAACAACTTTGATTCATGGATTACTTTTAGCATTTAAATATTTTTTATCACTCATGTGAATACTATTGCTAGCTTTATTCTCTTTCATCTATGACATCAATTCAGAATGACTGAATCCCAAATCATTAAGTATATACATTTTATAGCAGAATTTTACTTGCATGTATGTATTTTAGTTATGCTTTTGGGAAAAAAAGGCCATAATTAAGAGTTGGTGTTTCTTTCCATGAAATAGCATCTTTTACTTGTTGGACAAAAAAAAAAACACATAAGTATAAGAGCTCTGGTAGCATGGTGCCTAAGGCACTTGACTGCTAATCAGAAGGCTGACAGTTCAAACCCACCAGCCACTCCTTGGAAGGAAGGTTGGGCAATCTACTTCCATAGAGATACCACCTCAGAAACCCGAGGAGGGGTCGCTATGAGTCGGGTCTGACTGGATGGCACATAACAACAACAACAACATTCTGCATTTTTTTATATTACAGATTATGAAGATTCTGTTGAATTGAAGCACAGAACACTTCTGTAAGGAACATTTACAGGATACTATTTAAAAAGTTTGCAACTAAATAAATACATTCACCTGTTTTATACAAACATTGCTGTTGAATTTATTTTATAAATTTTATTTCAATTTCTGATTAGTGAAATAAATCTGAAGCTTATATCAGTAAATCACATAAATTTTCAACTTTTCCCCACATAATTAAGTCAATGTCAGAAAAATAAAAACGAACTTTGTCGATCCCTTGGCTATTCTGTACTAAGCAATTTTATCTCTTTGTTCAAGGTTTTCTCATTCAAACATAAATGGCGTAAGTGGTAATTGGACCACATCAGTTTCCATTTTTATTTATTATAAAGGGCATCACTTCCTTAGTCTGTTGGTAGTGTTTTTCTTGTGCTGATACAATATATTTACCAAAAATTATTAAGTTTCTTTATAAAACTATTTAAATCACAAAATAAAAATGCACACACATACATAGAGACACACACTCATGAAGTAAATAATGCTCATAAAAGTGATTATTGTTGTTAAATATCTCCAATTACCTGTACTTACTTAATTGTTGGCAACTCAAAGACATACATCCATGAAGGAAAGAGTTTAGATGACCTTTGCTAAAGTTACAAATTGCTGAGATTATTAAGGGGTTAAATATTTGAGAACTAAAACAAGAGTAGCAATATCTAAACCATTATCTGTGAGATGTTAAAATAGTGTGTGGGGGGATCTGCATTGTGAATGAGGTGATACTAAATATCATCTGATATTAGAATGAGAGTTAATATAGTGTTTTGGGCCTTCCTTACCCTGAAATACCATTATTTTATTTTTAATTTTCCATGATATCTGCCATGTATGGGAGAGAACACCATTCATTTTATATATTCCATTGTTTTGCCACTTAACCCAAGGTCACATGGATTTATGATCAACCCTGTATCAGAGAAGTATAACAGTTGATTTTCTAGATTCCTTACATATATTCTACTAACAAATGCACAACTGAGAGTTTACCTTTTTGCAAAGTTTTCTTTGTAAACTTTTGATAATCTGCAAGAAAAACAATATATGTGTATCAATTACTACAACTGATAAAATAACACAAATTTCAGTTTAACATACAGATAAGTTAGGAGGATTCATTCATTATCATTAAAATTATTCTTACATAAAATGTCTTAATAAGTAAAATTAGACTTTTTTTCTTTTTCTAAAGATTATATTTTTCTAGTATTGGTAATTTTGAAACCATCTGCATTTTAATTTATAATAATGTCTCAAAAACTATCTTAAACATTTCCAACACATTTTAAACTATAAGAATTATTGGTAGCTAATAAGTTTGTTTTCCAAATATCTACAATGTAAATGATTGCTGATGAGAATGAAGTGAAATCTGGAAGTAATTCTAACAAACTATTTTGCATATATAATCAAATCATTCATAGAGAGGCTAAGAGTAGGGATGGAAGAACCAAGAGTTATCATTTTCCTGATTCCTTTCCCTGCCTCATTGTCTCAACCCAAATAAAAATTTTATTGTTACCAGATGCAGAAGAGAAACAAAGTAGAAGACATTTGGGAAATGATATTTAAGTATACTTCATGAATTTAATAAAATTCCACTCTCAAGAATTAAAATGTTACTTACCTTTGTCCTACAATAATTAAAGTTTAGATTCTAAGTTCTGCATTAAATGATAGACATTAACATTCAAATTGATATAATAATTATGTGAACTTTTTAATTTGTTCAAGTAAAGATTAGGAAGATTGAAGTGATGTTTGTTTTTCTGTATAATCATTTGTTTTACAAAGAAAACCTTTGGGTAAGTCAGCTTATAATTAATTGTATAATGAGAAAGAGAGATGACAATATTAACTGACTTATGGACCATTTAGACAGTTGATCATCATCCTTTCTTCTTAAAGCAAACTGGTTATCCTTTGGAGTGTAAACTTCTATGAAGGAGAAGGCACTAGGGTCTATCTCTCCTTCAAGTTTTACAAAATTGTTTTTCCAAAGAATATACTACAAATATTATTGATTATTCTAATTGTATTTTAAATATTTAAGAAATCCTTTTTTTAAAAAATTTTTGCATTGTGAAAAACCAACCAATAACTGCTTTATTATTATTATTAGATAGTATCTTGTCATGGTAATTCTACATTATAATATTTTTAGGTACAACTAACATATTACAGTTTTAATTTCTAAGAGAAAAGAAGGAATACATGCATATAAATGTCACATAAGACTAGAGTGCAAAACAGTCATCTTCACTCTGATTTGCCTATTAATGGCAGCCAGGTGATAGGAACATTAAAATACTTGATTCTGGTGATCATACAATTTTAAAGAATATGTCTATTGTGTTTGTCTCTCATCTCAGTCCAAAGTGAATTAATTCAGTTGGTATTAACAATGACTGACAGAAGTAATATATTTTACAGTATTAACTATTACATATAATTGACAATTTTTAATACACGTGGATATTTTATTACAAATAGTGGTTTAACTTTCTTTGTTGTACTTGTGCAACTTTTGATGATTTTTCTCATTTAATTAATAAGGAGATTCAATTTCAAATATTTAACTCATCTTTCATTCCCTGGATAAATCATACTCAATCATAATGGATTATCTGTTGTCCTGAATTAGATTTGTTATTTTGAAAATTTTTTTTTTGTGTGTGACTATATATTCATGAAGAAAATTAGGTCTGCCCCTCTCTTTTCTTTTTAAATTTTTATTGTAGTTTGGGTGAAAGTTTACAGAGCAAATTCATTTTCCATACAGCAGTTCATTCATGTTTGTCTCATGACATTGACTGCAATTCCCCACAATGTAACAGCTCTCTTTCCATCTCCTCCCATAGTTATCTCTTCCCTGAATGGCCTTTGTTTGATGCTTTATCTTTGATCCCTTATATCTAATGTACCTTTTAAGATTTAGTTTTTATCTCGGGTATCAACAACTTGATTATGATATTTCTTTTTCTTTCTCTCTAGATACTTCATGTAAGTAGAATTCTACAATATTTGGCCTTCCATATCTGACTTATTTCACTCAGCATGTTTTTGAGGTTCATCCTTGTTGCAGCAGATGTAAAAATTTCATTTCTTTTATGGCTGAATTATAATCCATTGTATAAACAAAATGTGGTATATATAGCTTATTTTTAAACTTGGTTAGGGGAAATCTAGACTATTAGTTACTTCAGGGTTAATTTGGTCCTAGTACTGCAACTCACATATATTTCAGTCATGTAGGAGCTCTGAGAATTTTTCAGCTTACTAATTTCTGATATTTATTTTTCCAAACTCATGCAAGTTCACTGAATGTCACAGAATTTTATTATTTAGTGATAAACTCAAAGGAACCCCATGCAGATTTCTGAGCACAGGCATAAGTCCATCCTTGGTGCTCATTGTCCCACAAACCCCAGTCATCTCAGCCACCTGAATCTCCAATCCCCATTTCCTCAACTCGGTGAGACCATCATGCTGTACTTGGGTTCCCTTCTCTTCACTGTGTCCAGAATTGTGTCCATGCAGAAAGCTGGGACGATTGGAGAGCACCTTTCATGTGTCTATTCCCTCAGAAATCAGACTTCAACTATCTTTTGATTAATAGTTGCAGACTTTTTTTTCCCCATACATTATGTCCAGTTCTGTAATTCTTCATGTATAGTTCCAGTTACTCCATCATGGCTAAAGATGGATTTCTCTCCTTAAGTGAGTTTTTAAAAGCCTACTGGTATTCTTCCAGATGCCAGTTTGATCCTTAGCAGTATTTCCCTATATAAAACTCAGAAATTAATATAATAATATAAGTGGCTTTGGAGAATTTATGAGGAGATGGGGGCCAGAAACCTAACATTTATATGCTACCCACTAATAATGTTTTAAAAGATGTTAGAAACAGGATAGTTACTTGGGAACTAAAGGGTTATATCTGTTGAACTTCTAAAGGAAAGGGTAACTTTGCACAATTACGAAATATAAGAAATATGGATTATAATAAAGAGTAGGCATTTCAGGGAAAGAACCAATTGATGAAAATCAACTGCTAAATGAAAAAGTGAGCACCTGCAATGAAATGAGGCAGCCAGGCCTCTAGCCAAGGTTCTGAAGACTAAGCAATTTTCAGTTAAACATAAATGAGTACTTGGCCCATAATGTATGGTAGAGAATGGAGTATAGAATCTGTGATGAATGGAAAATGACCAGGGAAATTGCAAAAAGCAAAGGCACCACTAAGGACCACTGACTTGTGTAATCTGTGTTAGCAACATTTCTAGGAAATCTATGGAGAGGAAAAAGGGAAATAAATGCTCTGAGGATAAAGAAACATATTCACATCAATTCTCTTCTGTCAAGTCTTGAATATACAACAAAACATCTCACAGAGCCACAGAAGAGAGACGGTTACTCTTTTCACTACATCAAGATTTTCCCACAGGCCAAGAGCATCATGACTGCCAACGCTGTTCTGTAAAAGCTATTTTGGAAAGGCATATTAGAGTAAGAATGCAGAGCCGCCTGCTTTGTGAAAAACAAGACACCTAGTGTTACTCACAAATTATATCATCTCCATAGCACTTCAGTTCAATTCAACCAGCTCTGAGAACACTCTATGGGCACAATATTGGGCTAAAAATGGAGGAAATAAAGATGATTCTGATTCTTTTTGTCCCTTACATGAATCACAATTCAGAGAAACAAAATTGAAATAAAGAATATTAAAAATTTTGGACCCATAATTATTTTCAATTTATCCCAATGATAATTCAAGAAGTGAGATAGAACTACATATAACTTTCTGGTGTTATTTTTTTATTTTTAGAAGTGTCCAATAGGCCCGGTAGTTTGGTATATTATGATATACTTTAACTTTTATAACTTAGTAACATTAACATGAAAAGAAAATTTGGGTTAGTAAAATCTACATATACCATCAGAGAAGATATTTTCTTTTCTGCAGTATTCCCAAGATTCCAAGAATGACTTATATCCCATATATACATTTCTACTTTTTGATACTGCTTTGAGTTTTGCAACTAGCAGCTATTGGGAGCCTCAGAATGAATTCTCAAATTCATCATATTGATGGAGGACTGGTATGGGATCTCTATGTTGGAAGAGACTAAATCAATATGACTAACAATTTCTTTCTTAGCCAACTCATAGCTGTCCAAGGGGATGAATTATATCCATTTCATTGCAGATGTAAAACTAGTTCTGAGGACTTGAGGATTTATCTTCTTTCTTTCTATAGAGAAGAATATAGGGCATTAAATAGATTTTATAATGACTGCTATGAAAAACAATCATTAAACAGGAAAGATGAACAGCTGAACAAAGAAATGTCTTGGAATGTTAAAACAGTGTTAAAGTATTTTTCTAAAATTATCAAATCCATGATTAGACCTAATAACTCTGACTCTTGAGTGATAAGTATTCCCCAAAACCTACCTCTTACACACTTTTCTTTGCACTCTTCCAGACTTTCAAATCGATTTTGATTTCCATAGCATCCCCCATACACAAATTCTTCACACTGTTGAGTGTGAATATTGAAAAAAAATCTCTTCATCATTGCTTTGCATGGGCCATCATCTGCTTTCAATGCACAAAATGAATTCATGAGTTTCAGTGGTGGCAACTCAATATCTACAAGGTAAAGATAAGATAAAAATTCATTAATACTGTAATAATGTTTTTTATTACCTTTACATGTCTTTTTTAATGATGTCCTAATTTTGAGAAAAAGTTCATCAACAATATAGCTTACACTAATAAGAAACCAAGAAATGTTATTCAAATTATCAAGATGGTAGATAAAATAAACAAATTCACCAAATGAGGTAAGTTTTATCATGCTAAAGTAACTGTTCCAGGAAAAATGTAAAATAATTTTTCCAGACTTTTGTTGATAGGCTTTACTTAAATTTGGACAAGTTGACTGAGATGGGATTGGGTAGTATTAGATTTAAGCCAATCTCATTCAAATGCTTGTTATGATGTTACAAATAAAGATATTGGGAGCTCTGGTGGTGTAGTGCCTAAGGTATTTGACGGCTAACCAGAAGGCTGTTGGTTCAAACCCACCAACCACTCCTTGGAATGAAATTGGGCAATCTACTCCCATGGTGATACCGCCTTAGAAACCCAAGGAGGGGTTGTTATGAGTTGGATCTGACTCAACGGCAGTGAGCTTGGTTTTGGTTTTTGGTATTTTAATTAAGAAGTTTTTAGAGGCAGATGTCAGTGGACAATTATTTGAGTTTCTCTCCCTAATCTACGGTTGTGTCAATTTTTCACAAATAAAACAACTCCAAAAACAACAGTATATTTATATAATTGGGCGACATCATTGGCTAATCTTCAAAGGAGTTCTAATCTGCTGCTGTACAGAAATAAGAAAAACAGAAATTTGGATTCATCCTTCTCTGCTATATTAGGGGATTTTCCCGAGCATCATACACTAATGATTTTGTGTTCCTACTAATGGCAACCACATTTACACTATTTTAATTGGAATTTGAAAATGTTGTATGAGTAACATTTACATGATTCAAGATTCAAAACTATATAAGACTCTATACACACACTCAATTCCACCCATGTCTTCCCATGCTGTTCCTCCCCCTTATAGATTACCATATATGTTTCTTATTTATCCTTCTAATACTTTATACAAATGGATAATATGCATGCACATATACTAATATATATATTTACACACCTTTCTTCTTGTATAAAAGGTAACACACTACATACACTCTGCACACTATTCTTTCACTTAAAAAGAATCGGGGCCATTTTTCTACAAGTGTAGATAGAGTTCTTCCCGACGATTTTGTATGGCTGCATAGTATTGCATTGCTTGGTTGTACCAAGTTTGTTCCAGAACGAATAATCTTTTGTTATAATAAATAAAGTTATAATTAATAATACTGCATATATGCAATTTCTTATTGGGTTCTTGAAAGTTAGTTCACTTGGTCAAGAAGAAATACATTTGTAATTTTATTCAATGTTACTATATTCCCCTCCACAGGCAGCTGTACCTTTTTGTTCTCCCATTCACACTGAATACAATTGCCTGTTTTTTACAGCCTCATATACAATTCAAATGTTAATTTTTTTTTTTATTCAGTCTCATTGAAGAGAAATGATTTTTGGTGTAGTATAAATTCTATTTTTTGTTATCATGATTAAAGTTTAATAATTTTTTTATGTGATTGATGGTATTCATGTAGCTAGGAATTGTTAGTCACTGACCTTGCCTGTTTTTCTGTTGATTTGTTGGATTTTTTCTTTGAATTTCTATGAACACTTTATAAATTCTAGGTAGTAGTTCCTTTTATGTGTTATGAGTTACAAATAGTTTTTCCAGTTTATTTTTTTAATGTGTATAATATACACAACATAAAATTAGAAATTTCAACCATTTTTGTGTATAATCCATGGACATTAATAACGCTTACAATGTTGTGCATCCATCACTATTGGTTTTCAAAACTTCAAGAAGAAACTCTGTGCCTATAAAGCCATAATTCCTCATTCCTATAGATTACAAGGAGCGCTGGTGGTACAGTGGTTAAACACTGGGCTGCTAACTAAAAGGTTTGTAGTTCAAACCCACCTGCTGCTCTATGGGGAAATATTGTGGTAGTCTGCTCCCTTAAAGATTTGTAGCCTAGAAAACCCTATAGGACAGTCCTATAGAGTTGCGATAGAGTTGGAATTGACTTGATGACAATGGTTTTCTTTTCCTTTTTTTTTGAATAGGCTATAACACAGATGAAAACATAATGCTAAGTGAAAAAATTCATTTTTCTTTTGACTTTACCTTTGGTGTTTTTGCCTTTAATTTGTTCGTTGGTTTGTTTGTGTGCTTGTTTTAGTTTATGTAGTCAAATTTATGTATTTTTTTTTCTTTTATTATTTCCTGATTTTAAGTTATGGCTGAAAAAAAAATCCTTTCCCAGTCCTAGGTTAGAGAATTCATCCATGGGTTCTGTTACTACAACTTTGATAGTTTCACTTTTTATAATTACATCTTTTATTTATTTGAAGTTATCTTCATGTACCTTATGAGGGATTCTTTTTTCAAAATTTCCTTAACTGCATTTACTTTTATTAAAAAAATCTTTTTTGCACTGATTTGAGCTGTCTCCTCATCCCATTTCCCATATATATGCAGAGTAATTTCTAAACTTTCTATTTTGTTCCACTGGTTAGTCTTGTCCTTCAACAATTCCATTTCTCCTGCCAGAAAACAACTTGCCAAGTGAGATAGTGAGCTCCTTGACAATGGAGATGGTCACTCTGAGTCTTGTGGGTTTGAGGCTACAGGGAGCCTGAACTATTTCCTTGGAAATAAGCCTGGAAAATTTGGGGGGCTGCCTCAGGAACTGAGGTCCGGTGATTCCTAGATTCCAGAATAGTAAAGATTTCAAATGACTTCTTCTTCCACACCACCTGGTCAGCATGAGTGCATTTCTTTCACAAGCCTCATGAGTTATCTTTTACCTACAGGTACAGGGATATCATAGCTGCTGTTGGATGGATCTTGGCTTAAGGCAAAGAATACCAGAAATATGTTGACTTGTGTTTTATTGACTATGCAAAGGCATTTGATTGTGTGGATCATAACAAATTGTGGATAACCCTGAGAAGAATGGGAATTCCAGAACACTTAATTGTACTCAAGAGGATCATGTACATCTGTCATTCTAACAGAACAAGGAACATTTCATGGTTTAAAATCAAGAAGGGAATGTGTCAGGGTTGTATCCTTTCCTCATACTTATTCAATCTATATGCTGAGCAAATAATCCAAGAAGCTGGACTATATGAAGAAAAATGTGGCATTAGGATTGGAGGAAGAATCATTAACAACCTGTGATATGCTGATGACACAACTTTGCTTGATGAAAGTGAGGATGACTTGAGGCATTTACTGATGAAGATTGAAGAATAAAGTTTGCAGTATGGATTACATCTCAATATAGAGAAAACAAAAATCCTCACAACTAGAGCTATAAGCAGCATCATGATAAATGGAGAAAAGATTGAGGTTGTCAAAGGATTCACATTGCTTGGTTCTACAATCGACAGCAAAGGATTCACACTGCTTGGTTCTACAATCGACAGCAATGGAAGCAGCAATCAGGACATTAGACAACATAAAGCACCGGGCAAGTCTGCTGCAAAGGACCACTTTCAAGTGCTGAGGAGCAAAGATGTCTCCTTGAGGACTAAGGTGCGCCTGACACAAGCCATGATATTTTCAGTAGCCTCATATGCATGTGAGAGCTGGACAGTGAATAAGGAAGACCGAAGAACAGTTGATGCTTTTGAGTTGTGGTGCTGCCGAAGAATACTGAAAGTACCATGGACTGCTAAAAGAACTAACAGATCTGTCCTGGAGGAAGTGCCACTGAAATGCTCCTTGAAAGTGAGAATGGCCAGACTTGTCTCACCTACTTTGGTCATGTTGTCAGAACAGACCATTCTCTGGAGAAGGATGTCATGCTTAGTAAGGTGGAGGGTCAACGAAAGAGGGGAGGGCCTTCAACAAGATGGATGGACACAGTGGCTGCAACAAGGGGCTTAAGTATAGCAAGGATCATGAGCTGGCGTGGGATCGAGTAGTGTTTCATTCTGCTGTGCATGGGGTTGCTATGAGTTGGAAATGACTCCCGACAACACCATACTCTCCCAACCTAGTACCAAGTTACTAAATGGTCACTCTTACCATTGTATGGCATATGGGAGAAAACTATCCATATTGTTCTACACATTGCTTGTATGTACATGTATATACATGTATGTATGATGTTGTTGGGTGACATTGAGTTGGTTCTGACTCCTAGTGACCCTGTGTACAACACAGCAAAATACTGACCCCTTCTGGTCCTGTGCCATCCTCACAAGCATTGCCATGTTTGAGGCCACTGTTGCAGACACTGCATCAATCCATCTCGTTGAGAGTGTTCTCTTTTGCCGACTCTCTACTGTGTATGTATATCATACTATATTAAATCAATCCTTAATTATGAACACGTAAATGTCTGATATATTTTCAAAAATACTTGGAGCAACCTTTTATTTATCAATTTTTAAATTCTTGAAAAACTTAAAATATGCTTTCGGAATCTTTTAAGTGGAAGTGTTGTTGTTCTTAGGTGCCATTGAGTCCATTTTCAACTCCCAGCAACCCCATGTGACAGAGTAGAAGTTCCCCATAGGGTTTCTAGGATGTCATCTGTATGGAAGCAGACTGCCAGGTCTTCTTCCCATGGACCTGCTAAACCAAAACAAACAAGCAAACCCACTGCCACTCAGTCAATTCTGACTCATAGCACCCCCAAAGCAATAGGTGTTTACAGAAGTAGACTGTTCCATCTTCTTTCCCTGGAGCAGCTGCTGAGTGTGAACCTTCAACCTTCTGATTATCAGTCAAACGGCTTAGGCACTGCCCCACCAGAACTTGCCAACCTTTGTGTTACCACTCCAGTGTTTAATCTTTTCATCACCAGGACTGTTTAAAATACAATTAAGATTTTTTTTTTTTTTTACCTTGACTTATACATTTTTTTTCTCCTTAAATATCAGTTACTTGTTTTAATCACAGAAGTCTGTCTTGGGAAGGAGCTTGC